TGGTGTCCCCTGCACAGACCTGACCGAAGCTGCAGTCCATTTCCGTGCAGTCCCGTTGCAAGTGTCCCGACTTCCCACAACGGAAGCAGGGCCCGAGTTCAGGGCGACCGCCACGGGAGGGGGCTCCCCTCGGACTTCTAGGGGAACTCCGGGGAACCCTCACAACACTCAGCACAGGGTTGAACAGTCCGGGCCGAGGGGGAGGTCCCGGGCATCTGAGCCGAGGTCCCGGGCGGGCCTCTTGCCCACGGCCCAGGTTCCGCGGTCCAGTCGGGGAGTCCCCTTTTCTTTCAGTGTTCGGGCATTCCGGCCCGGGGTTTTGAGCTCGGAGGGCGGGCCCCACTGGCGTTTCGGCTGCGAGGAAGTCTTCCATCAGCGCGACAGCCGCAGCTAATGTCGCCGGCCAGCGGCGGAGCACCCAGGCCCGTCCTCGCGTTGGGAGGATGTGCACGAACTGTTCGAGGATGACTTGTTCCGTAACCTCCTCTGCCGTCCTCGTTTCCGGCTGTAGCCACCGCCTACACACCTCCTTCAGAGCTTGGGCCACCAGCCTGGGTCGGGTGCTCGTGGGGTATGTCTGGCTTCGGAACCGCTGCCGAAAAGTCTCTGGGCTGACATCTAAGGCATCCAAGATTGTGGCCTTCACCCGACTATAATCCCTTGCCTCTTCTGTAGCCAGCCCCCTGTATGCCGTCTGGGCAGTCCCTGTTAAGTAGGGGGCCAAAAGGGTGGCTCATTGGTCCTGGGGCTACCCCGCGACCAGCGCCACCCGTTCGAACGTTACCAAGAATGCCTCGGGGTCATCGTCGGGACCCATCTTGGTTAGTCGCACCGGGACGGCGGTGCGGGGCGACCCAGCCCCGTCCTCTGGCTGCAGGTCTACGGGGTGCGACAGCACTGTCATGAGTTGTTGCAGCTGGTCTCCAAGCTGCTGAATGAGCTGCTGCCGCTGCTGGAGTTGGGCAGCGGCCTGCTGCTGCTGCTGTACGTGGGCAGCCTGCTGTCGCTCTTGACTCTCGGCCAGCAGCTTAAACAGTCGCTCCATCTCCATGGTTCTCTTGGGGAGTCTTTCCCCCTCAGGCCTCTTCTCAGAGGGGCCAAGGGATCACTCCCCACTTCTGGTACCACATGTACAAGAGTTTGCCGGGGCTCGACCCTCTCCGGGGCGGCGGGGAGCCACACCGGCTCACTACACCCCGGTGAGCTAGGGAAATTTGTCCGGCCATGGGGTCTCCCTAGGCAGCTCTTGCTGTAACTGGAAGAACACGGTAAGCCCGGCCCTGCTCAGGGCAGGGCAACAATGCCAAGTCCGGAGCTCAGGCCCCCAGTCAGGTCTGAGCGACAAACGAATACCAAGTATTAAGCCCAGGCCCTAGGTCAGGGCGGGGCAACAAACGCTGAGTCAGGAGCTCAGGACCTCAGTCAGGGCTGAGCAACAATAGTAGGCCCAAGCCTCAAAAGGCCTGGGAGAGGGGGAGACTGCCACCCACGGGTTGGGTGGCAGGGGGGACGCAGGCCCTCCCACTCCACTGCGTCCCAGCCCGGGGCCCTAGCAGCGGCAGAAGACCCGCTGCTGTCAGTGGGGATCCTGGCCGCAACACGCTGACATAGGCTCTGGCAGTGCTGCAGCCAGACTGGGGTCGGCTGCCCCCGGGCTACTTCCACACTCCTCCTCGGGGCCTACCGGGTCCTGGTGTCGGCCTCTGGGGGATCCAGGACCATGGGCTCGTCAGGGCAGGGATTGATCGGCAGATCCGGCAGCTCCTCTGGATAGCGGGCGCAGGGCAGGCCCGGCGGCTCCTCCAGATAGTGGGCACAGGGCAGGCCCAGCGGCTCCTCCGGATAGCGGGCGCAGGGCAAGTCCGGCCAGCCCTGGCGGCCACCTTGGGCCGCAGGGTCTTCCCAGTCACGAGCTAGGCTGGAGACGTCTGGTCTCTCCGGCGGCTGGGGTCTGACTGAGCTGTGAGGGCGAGCTTTTATACTTCCGGGTCGCCGCCTGACCCTCTGAGGGGCGGGCTCAGAGCTCCCTAGCTCTGCCCACTCTGGCCTCTGGATGGGCTCTTCCCCCTCCGGGGTGGCGGGGAGCCACACCGCCTCACTACATGGTCCTTAAAGCTGGGGGCTGTGCCTCCCAGCCAACCGGGCCACTTTGGATAGACGGTTACCTGCATTTACAGGGACCCAGAGCCATTTATTTAAGGTCTTTTCTTCCCAAAGCTGCATCCAGAGTCCATTCCAGATAAATGCAAAGAGCCAGATTCTCAGCTGGTGTAAATAGGCATACCTCAACTGAAATCAATTAAGATAAACTGATTTACACCAGGTGAGGATCTGCCCCCGAGGGTCTGGACTCTGGGGCCCCCATTTCCTCCCCCATGTCACTGGGACTTAATGCTGTGATGCTGCCTGTCATTAATGATCTGGAGGATGGCATGGATTGCACCCTCAGCAAGTTTGCAGATGACACTAAACTAGGAGGAGTGGCAGATATGCTGGAAGGTAGGGATAGGATACAGAGGGACCTACACAAATTAGAGGACTGGGCCAAAAGTAATCTGATGAGGTTCAACAAAGACAAGTGCAGAGTCCTGCACTTAGGACGGAAGCATCCTATGCACTGCTACAGACTAGGGACCGAGTGGCTAGGCAGCAGTTCTGCAGAAAAGGACCTAGGGGTTACAGTGGACGAGAAGCTGGATATGAGTCAACAGTGTGCCCTTGTTGCCAAGAAGGCTAACGGCATTTTGAGCTGTATAAGTAGGAGCATTGCCAGCAGATTGAGGAACGTGATCATTCCCCTCTATTCAGCACTGGTGAGGCCTCATCTGGAGTACTGTGTCCAGTTTTGGGCCCCACACTACAAGAAGGATGTGGAAAAATTGGAAAAAGTCCAGCGGAGGGCAACAAAAATGATTAGGGAGTTGGAGCACATGATTTATGCGGAGAGGCTGAGGGAACTGGGATTATTTAGTCTGCAGAAGAGAAGAATGAGGGGGGATTTGATAGCTGCTTTCAACTACCTGAAGGGGGGTTCCAAAGAGGATGGATCTAGACTGTTCTTAGTGGTACCAGATGACAGAACAAGGAGTAATGGTCTCAAGTTGCAGTGTGGGAGGTTTAGGTTGGATATTAGGAAAAACTTTTTCACTAGGAGGGTGGTGAAGCACTGGAATGGGTTACCTAGGGAGGTGGTGGAATCTCCTTCTTTAGAGGTTTTTAAGGTCAGGCTTGACAAAGCCCTGGCTGGGATGATTTAGTTGGGGATTGGTCCTGCTTTGAGCAGGGGGTTGGACTAGATGACCTCCTGAGGTCCCTTCCAACCCTGATATTCTATGATTCTATCATACGCTGGGGACTGACCATATTTCCCATTTTCCAAAAGGAAGAAAGGGAACACATCCAATCCTGCAGCTTTCTTGTGTTCCCATGGGCCACCACAGGGCCATGCTGTGATCTCTTTCCTTCCTCCAGAACTCCTGGAGAAATGCTGAGAAAGGCCCCAGTCCAGCAGTGCTCCTTGGGGAATGGTGAGTCCCAGAGCAGAGTGACTTGCTGTGTGCTGTCTCCTCTGCGGGTTGCAATCCCTTTCTCTCGCAGATCTCAAATGCACAGGGCTTTGTGGTTTTCAAACTGCAGTGAAATCCCATTGTCACCCATCCCTCTCTGCACTGCCCTGTCTGAAGTGCTCGGGCTGTTTGCTTGAAGGGTGGTGATGGGATCCGGCTGTCACGCCACCACACCAGGCTGCTTGGAAAGCACCTAGAACCTTTTCAACTATATCCACTTTTACTAAGAGAGCCATACACAAAGGGGCATTTGCAACAGCTGTTTTGTTAGGTGAGGCTGACTGCCAAAAGAACACAGAAATTAAACACAAAGGCATGATGGGATACGACTATGCAAATTTCTTGCAAAGTTCAGAGTAAAACCATTGCATGATTCATCATACCATTTTTCTGCATTGCCAGGACAATGAAAGCTGTACTGACCATCTGTTTCTGGTGCTCGGATTCAGATGTTTTCTCTAGCAGCTGTTGCTCCAGCTCCCCACATCTTTTCTTGTACTGTAGTACCTAGGCCGAGGGGCAGAAAGGAGAAGTGGGGGAAGGGAATGAAAGATTTTGAAAAAAAGAAGGTGAGAGCAAGAAAAGAGGGCAAGAGAAGCCTGGATTAGGATAATTAGTTGGAGCATTACAGGCACTCAGGGTTAAATGATCACCCATGGGGCTCCCACTCTGTCAATCCATGACGCTTACTGATGACAGAGGGTCAGATTCGACGCCCACTAACGTCAACGTCACTCCACTGACTTCAGTGGGCTTTGGATCATGCCTTTAATGCAGTATGAAACTGTCACCTGGAAGACAGGAGAGGCATCTTAATGTGACATAGAATCCAGTCCCACACAGCCGAGCAGAGTGCCAAGCAAACTCTGTCTCGGAAATGCATGTTCCCTTCCTAAAGTTGCAGCAGGGCAGGGGGTTATCCAGAGGTGCAGTGTGTGTGTGGAGGGGTTATCAAGAGGCGCAGTGGGGAGGGGGGGGTGAGCGAGAGGTGCAGGAGGGGTGGGGAAGGTTGCCCAGAGGTGCAGTTGGGGGGTGGTTGCCCAGAGTGCAATGGGAGGGGTTATCCAGAGGTGCATCAGAGGTCGGGGAGGTTACCCAGAGGTGCAGTGGGGAATGGGGTGGGTTACCCAGAAGTGCACCAGGGGTGGGCAAGGTTGCCCAGAGGTGCAGTTGGGGGGTGGTTGCCCAGAGTGCAATGGGAGGGGTTATCCAGAGGTGCAACAGGGCTCGGGGAGGTTGCATAGAGGTGCAATGGGGGGTGGGGTGGGTTACCCAGAGGTGCAGTGGGAGTGGGAGGGGTTACCCAGAGGTTCAGCAGGGGTGGGGAATGTTGCCCAGCGCTGCAGTGGAGGGGTTTGCCCAGAGGTGCAATGGGGGTGTTACCCAGAGGTGCAGCAAGGTTGGGGGGTTCCCAGAGGTGCAGTGGGGTGGGAGTTGCCCAGAGGTAAGGCTGCCTTCTTCATAACACTAACAGAAATTAAGAGTATGCTGCACGTCCCTTCCTGCTCCTTCCTTGCCCAACATGTGCCGTGTCACAGCCTGGACTCTGAGCAGACTGAGCCTAGCGCCCAGGTGGTGTGAACTGGGGCAGCACCACAGCTGCAGTACAGCTATCCCATTCAGAACAGATACCCAAAGCAATGGCTGGGCAAGCTAGACAGTCAGTTTTTTCTGTGCCCCATCCTAGGTACCCTGCGGTTTGCCCAGTGGGAGGTTGGCACGGGTTCGGGTACTTACCTTGTTCTGGAGCCTCTGGACCAGCTGAGCCTGGCGCTGCTGCCCCTCCTGATAGGCCTGTAGCTTGCACTTGTACGCCTTCTCGTCATCCTCAAACCGCTGCCTCATTTCCATGAGCGCCAGACTGCCATCCCCTTCCCGCTGGGCTGCTTCCACCCGCAGCGCCTTCTCCAGCTGGAAAAGCAGAGACCCCCGAGAGCTGAGCTCTGCTCTGCCCTTGGCAGCCCCCACAGCAGAAGAAGGGGCAGTAGCACATGGTTAGACATTCTGTGTGAGCCACGCGAATAATAAACCCCTCCAGGGGGCAGAAGGGATAGGAAGGAAACAGCCAGAGCTGTGTGCACTCCCGCACCGTGCAGGCCTGGTCCCTACCACAGGGAGCCATCCACCTCAATCCTGAGTCTCAGTCTTTGATTCAAGGAGCTCCCCGGGGCCTCATACACAGCACGGTCTCCCCACCCTGGTGCAAGGCAGGTAGCTTCCTCTTGCAGTCCCTCTCTCTACCTCCTGCAGAGCTCTCGGGTAGGATTCACTGGTGCAGCTGGCTGGTCATCCTGTGTTGGCTCCTTTAATCCTCTGGCTGAACCCTCCACAAGGCTCTAGCACACCCTCCCTCCACTCCCTGCTCTTCTGCAGCAGGAGAGAAGGCCAAACTCTCCCCTCCCCCACCCATTCCAGTACTAGTGCCCCCCAGACTCCCACTCTTGCACGGAGCTGGAGAACAGCCTCTTTACAGTTGGTCTTTGCT